CTAAGTACAGGTGACCATTAAGGAGGATGCGTGTCATGTCATCCAGGAAGACAGGTTCTCTTTGGATTGGTAGTCAGGCAGTAGGGCCCTTGATGACCAGCCAGGGTTTTTATTGGACTGCTCACAGCCAGGGTGCTCTATTGGTGAATAGTTATAGTTGTGAGCACACTTCCTCTTTACAAAAACTTAAAGACCCTCTTTAATTTTTTAGACCTAAATTCAACATGTAAATACGTGTATAAATGTGCCATGACTTTGTTAATGTGTGAGACGTTTTGATGTGAGATTCCTTCTTATTTTCCTGATTCATTACATTTTTGTGCATACATTTTTACATGTGAATGTTAGTAAAAATTAATTAGTCTTCCTGCGGGTTTACCTTAAGTTTTAAGCACGCAATAAGCTTAAGAGAAGTGTCACAAAGCATTTGTTTACGTCTACTATATATATTTACAGGGTTATTCACAAATGGGTGAAGAGTTTGGAGAAGTGAACAATTTAGGACAACATAGCTGAACTGGACAGTGAGCTGTATTGGAGAATTTTTCCAAATTGGCTATGTTGTCCTAGATTGTTCACTCCTTCCTTCTCCAAATTCTTCACCCTTTTGTCAATAACCTTGTTAGTCACTCTTAGGATATCAGGCTGGTACACCAGGCATACAAGTTGTAGGTGTTCCCCAACCACAGATACAAGTCTATATGTCTAGGGGATACAATAGGTCCCTCATCTCACCCCAAAACAATTCACACATTTGAAGGTATCTGTGACTGATGCTGATGGGTTCCTGTGCCCTTGAGCATCCCTGCTGCCCAGGAAAGAGTACCAGCCTTGATGTGCAATTTAGATGCATTTCAACAACGGTGGATACGTTGCCACCTGTTTTCTACTCTTTTGTTAAAAAAAACCCGAAAAAGTATGAAAACACCTGTTTTTTAAATAAATGTTTATTGAAAAAAAAAACAATGACTCACCTCACCCCACGATCAGTTTATTATTCTAAATTATACAACAACAAAAAATCCACTATGGTCTTCAGACTTCTACATCTACTACCAAGTCTCCTCAAAGTAGCACTTTGAGGGATGTGACCGGCATCGGCATGGGTGACCGACCCATCCCTAATCTTGGACTTGACAATATTAGGTAACTATTAGTATTTATTAATCCTCAAAAAGACACTGCAGTTTAGGGAAAAGTTTTAGATGGCTTTGTATGTTATTGTTAGTATTTTGAATTTTATTTGTTGGGCAAGTGAGAGCCAGATCAATCGAAATCAAAGAAAACTGACCCATGTATGCTGACATTACATAATATCATAGTAGGTAAGGTTGGATAAAGACACAGGTCCATCTAGTTGATCCACATTGATCAGTATGTTTCAAATTGTTGTGTGTATGTCCTGCTTTGGAATCTGATAGGTTGCTGTGGCAATGAGGTTCTTGTCATTTTACACCAAACTACAAATAACAAAGGTAAGCAACCAACCAAGCAGAAATGATCTTTCTTGGATTGGGCACAACAAAAGGTGCCTACAGGCATCTGATAACATTTGTCCATTCAAGCCATTTGCATTCATATGATAGTAGGCACTAGCAGCCAACGACAGGCCTTCATTGTATTGAGCATTCCAGGTTGAAAAGACAACAATCAGCTGGCTTACATTTTTCCTGACTCTAGTTTCTCTCTCCAAATACGTTGTTGCCAAGGTTGTCTGCTAAACGCTCCCCCTCCCTTTTCCATTGGCACAAGAGCACGAGGCTGTCTAATACAAAAAATGTATATTTCCATTATCTTCACCAGAAAGATCCACCAGGGTCCAATTCTTGCATGATCCGGCTGCCATATCCCTTAAAGGAGAACTATGAGGTGAGTGAATTTCACTCACCTAGTTTTAGCCGACCTGTGACAATGAGACTGTCACAAGTCGGCTCATTAGATCGGGAAGTGAGCGAACACATACCGGTGTTCGCTCACCTCCCGATCCTGTCACAGCTCTCTGCCGTGACAGGGGAGGGGCTGGATTCCCCCCTCCGCCAGCGCTGACTGGTGGAACGGACGGGGGAGGGCACAGCTTGCTCTGCCTCTAGATAGGCAGAGCCAGCTGTCACTCACGCAGCTGGGCGGATCCAGACATAATTGTAGGCATCCGCTTCAGCGTCTCAGTATACCGGGCGCTGTAGCTCGCGGTATACTGAGCTTAGTGTGACGGGAGGACGCTAGTTTGTGTCCTCCCGTTACCCTAAGGAGAACTATGGGGAAAAGCCTTAACCCCATAGTTCTCCTTTAAGTCTGTAGGCAGCTTAAAGAACTCATTTAGATGAAGTTGCCATTTGAGGGGCCAATTTAGAATACACGAAAGCAACAAATTATAAGCATTATGGAGCTCTGTGTACAGGCAGCTCATTCATTCTGAATGGGTCAATAAAGATCTACAGAGTGAGGTAGATATTCAGGTACAGTATGTGGCTTTCATTGAGGAGGGCAGAGGGGAACCTCTAAAAGGACAACTTCAAGTAAAGATGATTTTGAAAGCAGAACTTTACCCACCAATTTGTCTCCCAAAACAGCCACTTTCAAGGCATGCCAACTGTCAAGGTTGCCGGTGTGCTTATTTCATCTCTCGACCGAACTTTCAAGCCCTCAAATGGCTGGAGTCATAGCTGATCGCATGTGCAGCACCATGGCACCTGCAATCCACATGGAGGCTAAGATGGCGCCGCACCTTCCTTGGCAGTAGAGGAGAGGACGGTGTAGTTCCGATTGAAGATCTTGGCTTGGCATAGTACCTGGACTGGTTTTCGAGCCTCAGCGCTGTGCGTTGCTTGGCACAGTATGTGCAAATAGCCCTCAAAGACAAATGTTCTGTCTTTTCAATGCAGGTGCGAACACACAGCAAACATTCTGTATGCAAAATCTGAGGCACACTAATCGCTGAGGGAAACATCATCAGATATTAAAACCTGCATCGACCATACAGAACAATGATCAGTGCAGTGGATGTATTTGTACACTATGCCCAGGAACATTATTATTAGGAAGGCTCCATGCACCACCATTGGTTGTTTGTGAAGGGGCTGCCTGCTTCTAATAGATTGCAATCTCCAGTGATTACATGAATGCAGAGCACCGTAGAAATTATTATTTAAAAGATAACTATGGGGTAACCTTTTTATCCCATAGTTCTCTTTAGGGTCACAGGAGGACATATACTAACGTCCTCCCCTGACCCTAGCTCAGTATAAAGCGAGCTACATACTGAGACTGCCGCAGCCGGGACGGATCCCGACAATACTGTTGAGATCCGCCCAGCTGCGTGAGTGACAGCCGGCTCTGCCTATCTAGAAGCAGAGCCAGCTGTGCCCGCCCCCTGCCGCATCCATTCCTCCACTCAGCGCTGGAGGATCAGAGAGGGGAATCACTGCAGGGAGCGGTGACCGACAGTCACCGCTTTCTGCAGGGAGATGATCGGAAAGTGAGTGACAGTATGGGCTCGCTCACTTCCAGATCTATAGACCCGACCTGTGACAGTTTCAATGTCACACGTCGGCAGTAACTATGAGGTTGAGTGCAAATCACTCACCTCATAGTTCTCCTTTAAGGCTCCTGTCAAACCTAAATCACACAGGTAGGTGAAGCAGCTGCATCCCTTGGTTTCAGTCCTCGTCTGCAGTTATGGAACAGACACAGACAGGCTGAACGTAAACAAAGCAATGCTCTCGCTGGCATGAGTCTAAAAGGATGCATAGACAAAGCACAGGCAGAGACAAGGGGCTATATAGACAAAATCTAGTTATGCTTGCATGCTATTTAATGTAACGGCTGTTCAACTGTCCAATGTCTACAGCCAATGCTTCACTGACAGGTTTCCCAAATCTGAAGCATGAGCATTTCCCTTTTTGCGCTCATGTGTGTGTCCTGAAAGCCCTAAACCAGCGATTGGCTGTCATACGTTAGCCAAAAAGCTTGCAGACCTTCCTGTTCTTGGTCATAGCTTGGCTATACAGACTCCTGTCAGCCCCAGCCCCACCAGTGTTGACTGTCAGGAGACACATGCACCTCCATGCCTCCTGCCATCCTCTTACCACATATCCCCCCCATATGTAGAGGCAGTGCTGGTCCATGGCGGCGCAGTGCCCGCTCCTCTCCTCGGCCACACAGTAGCGTTGTATAGCAGTAGCCATGAGCTGTCAACTCTGCCCCAGCTGTCACCAACAGTCACCAATAACAACTAGAAGCGCTGAATCCCACTACGGGTCGCCGAAGGGGACATACCAAGCAGCGCGTTTACTGCCTGTACAGTAAACCTATCATACACGAGCCTGTATTAAAAATTACAACCGCCGTACCAGAGCCGATTAGCATTATTAAGACCCTGGCATTGACTGGCCTAGTCCCTTCGGTCTTGGAAAAGCAAAATTGCTATTAGACCTAAATGCTATTACTATCAAAGAACAAATAAGAATGTATCCAGACCAGCAGCGGACGTTTAAAGAATGACTGAGCGGGTGCTAGTCACCGGTCTCCGGAAAAATGGCGGAGTAACAGGGACACCTACGTGAGACGTGTTCGGCCGTGACAGTTTACAAAAGACTCCCAGCTGTTTCTCAAGATTTAGTGGGTCATTCACTAAAGGATGAAGAGTTTGGAGAAGGCACGGCAGGAGAAGTGAACAATCTAGGACGAAATAGCTGATTTGGAAAAATTTATTCAATTCAGCTCTACTATTTTGGCCTAGATTGTTCACTTTTCCTGCCTTATCTAAACTCTTCACCCTTCAGTGAATAACCACCTTAGAGCAAAGGCTTGGACAAGCAAATGTTTATTAGAATGCCATTACTGTTCAGATAAAAACCCTTTTTATGTAGACTAGCAGCAGGGTTTATAGGGGTGGTCTCCGGGAAAAAGGCGGAGTAGCGGGGACACGTAGGCGGCGCTGTAGTGCTTGGCCGCGGAAGTTTACCAGTGACGTCACTCCCAGCTGTTCCCGTGGATTTGGCGCGAAGAGTTTGGAGATGGCAGCTGACAGGCTGAAGAGTAAAGTGAGCTCGGCGTTTAAAATGCACGGGCTGCTGCTGCGAGCGTGAGTGTTCTTCATGGTGGGTGGCTGTACGGGACAGGGAAAGACCTCTGGGGAGGGTCCATGCTGGGCAACTAACCCTTTACACTGAGGTCCTGCCTGCACCGGCCATTATGGGTTCACCTACACCTGAGATAGCCCCTAAAAGGAAGCCTGTCATGGAAACAATATGGAGGCTGCCACTGCTGACTTATCCTGAGAATGCTTGTTGCCTGGCTGTCATGGTAACCCTCTGGCTTCATCACTTTTCCACTTTAAGTCGGTGATCTCGAGCAAGAATACAGAGCAGGCCTACTGCCTTTCCTGCGAATTGCGTATTGAAGCCAGGGGATCAGTTTGACAGCCGGACAGTTTGGATTTTATTGACTATCCCAGCAGTGGCAGCCCATGTATTCCTCTTGTCATGGGCGGGCGCGCGTTTGTTCTGCCCCCCCCAAGCGGAAGATTAAAAATAACTTCCTTTTTTTGACTTTTTTTCTTTCTTTCATCCTTCAATGCATCCCAGTGCTGCTGATCCCATGCGGCCTCTTTGCAGCCCCTTGCTGTCTATGTGCACACCAGTGATGGCTGAATGGCATTTCTCAGAGCAGGAATGGCATTTCTCAGACCGTGCCTTCCTAGTGTGCGTTGGCACTGCTGCTTGTGGTCTCCATCGCTAGTGCGATTGGAAGTGTTGTCACCCTGTAACAGGAAGTGCGTGAACCTCCATGGAAGGAGCGCCAGTTATTAATATAATGAAAGCTGCAGATTTAAAAATGACGATTGAAATGGTGATACAAACTAACAGCATTATAGATTGAGATATCAGTGATCGGGTTACATAGATTGTGTTCAAATGTAAGTAGAATAAAAATAAATCTGCACCCCTGGAGCACTCCATGCAGTGAAGGGGCCATTTAGGAGCTTAGGGGGAGACTGGAGGGTTATTTATATGTCAGGTCATCAACCTTTGCAAGTGTGGAATAGAATGTTGCTTGTTGGATGGGGGGGTGCCTTTTGGGCGGGGGGGTTCCATTTGTACGGGGTACCTTTTGGACAGGGGTGCCTCTTGCACTGGCAACCTTTTGGACGGGGGGGCCTCTTGCATGGGCAATCTTTTGGACGGGGGGTGCCTCTTGCACTGGCAACCTTTTGGACGGGGGGGCCTCTTGCATGGGCAATCTTTTGGACGGGGGGTGCCTCTTGCACTGGCAACCTTTTGGACGGGGGGGCCTCTTGCATGGGCAATCTTTTGGACGGGGGGTGCCTCTTGCACTGGCAACCTTTTGGACGGGGGGGCCTCTTGCATGGGCAATCTTTTGGACGGGGGGTGCCTCTTGCACTGGCAACCTTTTGGACGGGGGGGCCTCTTGCATGGGCAATCTTTTGGACGGGGGGTGCCTCTTGCACTGGCAACCTTTTGGACGGGGGGTGCCTCTTGCACTGGGAACCTTTTGGACGGGTGTGCCTTTTGCATAGCGGACTTTTGCACGGGGAACCTTTTGGACGGGTGTGCCTTTTGCATAGCGGACTTTTGCACGGGGAACCTTTTGGACGGGTGTGCCTTTTGCATAGCGGACTTTTGCACGGGGAACCTTTTGGACGGGCGCTGCCATTTGCATAGCGGGCCTTTTGGACGGGTGCTGCCTTTTGCATAGCATACCTTTGGACGGGTGCTGCCTTTTGCACGGGGAACCATTTGGACGTGCGCTGCCTTTTGCATAGCGGGCCCTTGGACGAGGGAACCTTTTGGACGGGTGGTGCCTTTTGCATAGCATACCTTTGGACGGGGGGTGCCTTTTGGACGGGCAGTGCCTTTTGCATAGTGGACTTTTGCACAGGTACCTTTTGGAAGGGGGGTGCCGCCTTTTGCACGGGGTACCTTTGGTAATTAATAGACATGTTTATTCCCTTACGCAGGGAGGCCAGTAAATATCTTCTTGAAGCTCTGAAGTCTGTAAATGAAGTCGAGCTTGAGGATGTCATTGACAGTATTATTGACGCTGTTGAAAAGCAGCCATGTGAGTATAACGTCCGTTACCCTTTACCGGCATATTTTAAATCGTTACTTGAAATAAAAATGATGTAAGAAAAGGTTTACTACAAAAGAATATTCTTAGAGGTCTCTTTAAAAAAAGATAAATCACATAGCTCTACACCCAGCAAAACCGCCGGTACATTCATTCTATGCAAGTTAACCAGCCGTTGTGAGAATGGGAACGTTGAAACATCCGGCAGAACATTGAGCATCCAACATTTCCGCATTGATGACTTGTGTTTCTATTGAATTGTTTTAGTGTCTTCAAACATGATCGAGAAGGCAACAGTAGAAGCAGCAGTGCAAGAATGCAGCCAGTCCTGCGATGAAACAATGTGAGATCTTACTTGTGTTGTTTTTTCCTTTCTTGTTGTTTATTTTGTTTGTCTCCACATGTTATGATTTTGTTTTATAGAGAACACATATTCAACATTATTGGAGCATTTGACATCCCACGTTTCATTTACAATTCCGAAAGGAAGAAGTTCCTCCCGTGAGTAACTTTTTATGTTTCTTAGTTTGCAGCAGTGATTACCACATAGTGAGACCTGGGCCCAAGATGGCTACCGGCACCAATATACAGTGGTACCTCGGTTCACAAACGTAATTTTTTCCTGCGATTCTGGTCGAGAACCGCATCAAACTGTGATCTCGACTAGAGGAAACCATGACCCTGTATCAGAGCGGGGAAGATGGCTGCGGTTGTGTTAGTCACCCGATGCGGAGTCGTGGACGGAAGCAAAATTTTGCTGAACTTCCTGTTCGCGAACAGAAGCACCACTGTACTTTGACACATTAGACACAAAGTCTAGTTGCTTTTTTTTTTTTTTTTAAATCATTTACATTCTATTTTATTCTTTATATCTGGTCAATATATGCTCAGTGGCCTGTGCTTATATTGCCTCAATTGTGTAACGCAGAATTCCCCCGGAGACCAGGAAATTCTAATGGAAGGATAGGCACATAACCTGCATGTGTGTTGTATGAAGGATAACATTTCTGTAGTGTTTACTTCTAATCTCAGCAGGAGACTGAGGACCACACGTATGCACATGTAGATACCTAATATGCAGCTCCGTGTAAATGCTATAGTTGTCCTTTTATTGTGGTACAATTACATTAGGGTAAAAAAAAAACAAGAGCTCTTCAGAGCATGCATAAGGTTGTCTTTACACTGAAGGAAAAATGAACCCTTGCAGTGGAGCTACCTCTGCACTGGAGGGGTTAACTGCTCGTTTCCATCTAGCCAAACTCTGGCCCTCCAGCTTTGGCGGAACTACAAATCACATGAGGCAATGCAAGATTCTCACAGCCACAGACATGACTCCCGGCGAGAGATAGATCATGGGATTTGTAGTTTCACCACAGCTGGAGGGCCAGAGTTTGGCTACCCCTGCTCTAGGGACTAAAAAAGTTATACTCACCAGAACCTTGGATCTGGTGGACTTTCACAGCGCTCCCTCCAGCCTCTCTCCTTCATTGCTGCAGCGACAGTATGTCCCTTGCGTCCTTACGTCTTATAAACTGTGAGGGGAATTTATCAAAACTGGAGCAGACAAAATCTGGAGCAGCTGTGCATGGCAACCAATCAGCTTCTCTCCTAAGTTTGTTCAATTAAGATTTTAAAATGAGAGTGAGGTGCTGATTGGTTGCCATGCACAACTGCTCCAGATTCTGTCTGCTCCAGTTTTGATAAATTCCCTCCATTGCTTGCAGCTGTTATGTAATAAATGTATAGTAGTGTAGTACTGTCTTTAACTGTAAGACTTTCTAGCTTCATTGTTTTCTGGATTGCATTTGTTGCTCACTAACTGACATTCCTGTTTGAGTAATTCACAATGTATGCTCCGCAGGTTAAAAATAGCCAATTATCCAGAACCCAACCTGTTTGGAAGTGCCAGAGACAAAGCTGAGCTCTTCCGTGAGAGACATACCATTCTGCAACAGGTGAGATGTAGGCCTAGTGCATTCTGTGTCCCTTTTATTTTTTTATGGTCTTAGGAGTGATTGGCATTCTGAGCTGCCCGTAGCAATCACTCAAAACTGTCCCTTTCCCTTTGTACGTGGCCAAATGAAATGAGTAATTTGTTGCTGTGGCCTTCATAGACCAGGACAATTCGTCCCTGAGACACTTTGATAAAGCAGCCTTGCAGTCCTTCTAGAGCAGGGGTAGCCAAACTCCGGCCCTCTATCTGTGGTGAAACTACAAATCCCATGATTCATCTCTCTCCGGGAGTCATGTCAGTGGCTGAGAATCTTTTGGAGTTTGGCTATCCCTGTTCTAGAGTAATGATTGGTTTGCTGCCTTGGCTTTGCAGTACTCCAGTATGCAGTCTTGTATATAGCAAGTACAATATAGATAAAATGACATTTTGATTTATAAATGCAGTACAGGCATGTATAGTATCTGCTGTTTGGAAGAATTTAAAGAAGAAGCATCACAACTTTAAAGTTTTGTTTTTGAATCCCCAAGGGGCAACGCAGTACAGTACCGATGTGCACATTACTCAGAGTAGGAAACACACAACACACATAGATGGGGCGGTGGGTAGGGCTGTTTTGTAGCTCCCCTATAGGAATACCCAGAAATTGGACTTTAGCCTGAGGTGGAGCTACAGCCAACAAAACAGAAAATACATTGAAGGGAATTTATCAAAACTGGAGCAGACAGATTCTGGTGAGCATGGCAACCAATCAGCTTCTCTTTAATTTAACTGAATAGACTGAATGTCTGTGAAGGTTCTCATTCATCCAGGTCATGGTATATCTGTAAAAAAATCAGTCAAGGCAACTGGACTTGCAGTATTTTTCATGAAGACGTTTCACTGGTCATCCGACCACAAGTCATTCTGAATTGAGAAAGCTGGTCGGATGTCCAGTGAAACGTCTTCAAGAAAAATACAGCAAGTCCAGTTGCCTTGACTGATTTCTTTACATATATGAACAGACTGAAGACAGAAGCTGATTGGTTACTATGGGCAACTGCTCCAGATTCTATCAGCTCCCGTTTTGATTCCCCCCATTGTTCTTTTATTTCCCTACCACAGCACGGATCAGAATGGGATCAAGCTTTACATGCACGTGTTCCCTTGGGGGATTCAAACTTAAAAAAAATAAGTTGTAGTGACAATTCTTCTTCAAAGGCTGAGCAGTTTACAATATTACTTCTAAATGATTGTGATTTGATGTGATGTATAGTTCTGATGCCTGTTTTTGTTGTAATAACAGAGAACACACAGACATGAGCTCTTCACCCCCCCTGTAATTGGTGCGCACCCAGATGAAAGCAGAAGCAAGTTCCAGGTACAGCGATGACTCACGGATGAGTATAAATGTCATAATGATAAATACTGATCTCTGGTTGTATCTTCACCTCTGCAGCTGAAAACTGTGGAAAACCTCTTAGGAAGTGCAGCAAAGATGGGAGAGCTCATTGTTCTTGGAATGATAACCCAACTGAAGGAGGTGAGATTTTTTTTTTCCCCTTCAGCTCATAGGGCGGCATTACACATCCTGTTACCTACTGACTATGCAGCCATCTCTAGTGTTATGTTAGTAAAAGGGTGAACTCCACAGGAACAGAGAGTGCTTGCAAGTATCTGGACTCCTTTTTTCAGTCTCAAAGATTTCCCAACTTGTTGGAAAATTGTTTTACGTAAATACCAATCTTTACCTTTTACTTTTAGGGAAAGGCACAATGTCCTCATTGAGCATCTAAATGTCAGCAAAATGAAGACGTCTTGGTAGGGACTAATGGAGCTCCTGTCTAAATGAGCGAAGTCAGGTTTCCCATCCAACTGCTTGTGCAACTGCAAGTGATCTCTATGTGTTTGTCTGACCTTCTAGGCCAATGTCTGCTGAAAAGTAATTTCAGTTTTAGGTGGGCATTGCTGGGCAATAAATAAGGGGAAACATTCTTAGCATCACAATGCACTCGGGATGCTGAGAAGGTTTCCCCTTATTTAGTGCCTCTGCTTCTTCCAGGTTACCTTGACAGGATTACGAAAGAATCATGAACCATTAGGGATGTTCAGATACCCAGTATCGTACTCGGTACATGTACAGATACTTTTCCAGCTCCAAGACTAGACTAGAGAAAAACTCCAAAGTTAGGAGGCAGCTGCCATGTGTAAGGCGCACACCGAGCTCCTGGGATTTGTGCATCTCTGTTTTAATGTATGATTATGTTTTTATAAATATATAATAAGGGATGCGCCGATACCATTATAACAAGTACTGATACTTGTCCAAGTATTTTTGTGTTTTGTCATGTGACAGTTTTTCTAAAACAATACAAACCAAATGATTTCAGGACAGTGGTGGAGCGCCAGAGCCCGGTCCCAGCTGCAACCACTTTTCTCGTGAAAATGACAAGCACTGGTATCTGAACTGTTATCTGGAAATCCCTATTGACCATAATGTTAAATATACTACACTTGCAGGGGACTCTGATGCATTGATTTTTAGGAAATGTAATGGGACTGGAGTCCATGAGAGAAGTAGCCATTTACAGCTGAAAACCGTTATAAATGCTGATAGGATGGTAAAAGAGCATCAATGGCGACTGCTCTCTGCCCCGTCAATATGTTCCTCATCAGCACACCTGTATGAAGCACACCAGATTGGCGCTCAGTCCTACCCCTCCCTCTCCCAGTCTGAGCTCAGCTATTTAGGGAACTGCTGGAAAATCAAATACAGGTACTACATGCATTAAGAAAATATATATGTACTCATAATACAAAGCTGCTTTAATTTGTGACTTTTACATCTGCCTGAAGATCAGCTTAAATGTTATCAAATAAATATCCTTTTTATGTCTTTTCATTATACCAGTTCATGAGATTATAAAAAAGAAATCTTAGTCACATTTTCCCATTGATGGCCCGCTTCAGCATCTGTACATGGTTTGCATCCTTATGGATACTAGGCTTGTGCTATTCAATGTTACCACAAGGTGGCTCTGGCACTTTTGTGTTCTGGTGGTGAATCAGGAAAAAGCTCTTCCCATTTCTGATTGGCATATATTTCTATTTAAAAAAATAAGTAAAAGTCAAACCTTTTTTTTTGCTTTACTTTTGGGTCACAAGAGTACATTTACTATAGTACTTCTGTGACCCGAAGTCGGCATATAGCCAACTCTAAATTATCCTTATACTACTTCCCTCTGCGGTTACCAACTTTATTGAAGATTATATTACTTAAAACTAATTAAATAGATTATTTTATGACAAAAAATGCCATTTGTGCTGCTGCTTTTTTATATGAATTTCATCTAATCGTCAGTTTGTTGGATTCCTTTTTTGTTATACTAATATCACCCTAGGTGTATAATGATTGTAAAACATATCCTCTCTGAATGTCAGTGCTGCAACATTCCCTTAACTTGACTGCACCAGTTCCATAGCGGCCTCTATACAGAGTCTTGTTTTGTTCTAGCAGAAGGTAACGTATACACTCTGTGATGATGTTATAGTTTCCTATATCAATGTCAAAGGAAAGTCATTTGTCATTTTTGTTGTTTTGTTTCTATACAGGGTGGTACGAGGATAAAATATTTCACGTCAATGCATTTGGATTTCCCCCTACTGAGCCTTCCAATACAACAAGGTGAGGACTACATGACCGCTCCCATATTTTACTCCGTTAAATATTCCCTTAATATGAATTCTATGTAATCTGTTGCAGCAGGATTTCATAGAGTTTGACCTGACATCAGCCTCTGGCCGGATTGGAGTGTGAGAGGAGGAAGCAGCACATATAGCCAATCGGTTCATATGCTGATAGGAGGAGAAAGCAGGGTGACAGAGGGATGACCTCATCACTGTGCTGCTTCTCCTTTCACAGTCCAGGCTGGCTGCGCATACAGGATGACTTGAGCTCATAGGGAGGGAGTTGAATGATGATGACTATCTGCTGGCAGAACAAAAGGATTATGGGAAAATCTCTAGATTGATAGTCAACATTACAGCAAAAGCACTTTTTTTATGTTCTGTTTAATTTTGTCTTTGATTTTGGCTGAAATTCTGCTTGAAATATTAAATTTTAGTGTAATTAGCCATTCAAACCAGTTTGAGACTATTAAAATGTGATTGGAATTACTTTTGCAGGGCTTATTATGGTAATATAAACTTTTTTGGAGGGCCTTCCTCCACATCTGTGAAAGCATCGGTAAAACTAAAGCAGTTGGAAGAAGAGAATGAGGACGCCATGTTTGTGTTTGTGTCTGACCTCTGGCTGGACCAGGTGGAAGTCATGGAGAAACTTCATGTCATGTTTTCAGGTATTTGGAAGACTTCACTGAGCACCATTTACATCTGAAGGGGCTATATAACATAGAAACTACAGTAAAACAACTTGTTCTATGAAAAACAAACTGTCCAGCATCCACATGCCTCTAGCAGCCATTCACATGTTTTAAAGAAAATAAATTATATCTTTTATATCTCATAATGGTATAACTATCAATGGTGGGGGGCAGTTCAGATACGCCATGCCTTCCGCTGATCCCCTGGGATCTTAAAGCAGGTTAGCCGCAATATATTCAGGCTTCCTTGTTCAGCAGACTGTGCAATTTGCATGTTAGAAACTTCAGAACGCAGAATTATCACCAAGATAAATTCAGAGATTATAAAGCTGAACTCTGGGGAAATTTTAACACTCCATTTGCAGTGGGGCTCCTTTGCAAGGGTTAAATGCTCATATCTGTTCAGGGTAACCATTTTAAAAAGCATTTTTACTTGCCTTATCCCTCATTCCCCTGTCAGCTGGTGCTCTTCTCTTCCCTCTGACGCTCCATGTTATGGGCAGACCCTCAGTTTCCTCACTTACAATGTATGGCTGGTCCTGCATTGTACATGATAAACAGCCAACAAATCACCTCAGATGCGTTGGGGCTGTCCTGGCCATCCTTTCCAGCACAGCCCAACGCAAGACGAGGCAATTTGCCTCGTTTTAGATGTACTCAGTTCACAGTTGTGCGGTGCATTGAATAAAAGTGCTGCTTGCAGTCCTTTTTTTTTTTTTTTTCCAGTGTAGTGGGGTGCGGCGCTGTACAACCTCCTTGTGCCATGCCTATAGAACCTAATTGAATGAAAAAAGGTAAAGTGTGTGATGTGCCAGGATCGGTGCATCAGCACTGTGCCAGGCAATGCACACCACATTGTAGCACAGCTGCTGGGGTGAAGCGTCTGGATAAGTTCTTGGTACTTATTATCTCTCATGCTCTTTTCAGGTTATTCCACGGCTCCTCCTACCTGCTTCATCTTCTGTGGAAACTTTTCTTCTGCACCTTATGGAAAGACTCAGATCAAATCTCTAAAAGGTACAGGAATTTGTGACACATGGTTTTCCTTGGAATGATTTGATTGGTCCGATTCATTCTGTGGACACTAGCAACGGTCTCCTGCCCTCCAGACTTTTGTTGCTTGTGTGGTCATTGTCTGAGACTGGCTGTGATGGCGAGGTATTGATTTAACGCAAAGTGTAAAGCTGGCCATATACCACAGTACATTTTTGATTGAAACTATGGGGGGGGAATTGATCAAAACTGGAGCAGACAAAATCTCATTTGCAAATCTTACCTGAGCAAACGGAAGAGAGAAGCTGATTGGTTGCCATTGGCAACTGCTCCAGATTCTGTCTGCTCCAGTTTTGATAAATTCCCCCCAATGTGTTTTTTAAACATTTGTTCAATTTTCTAAAAGATATTGGGATCAAATCCACAATCCTTTTGTTTTTCTGTTTTGCTCAAGAAACCTCCCATCAATTTCCTAAATTGAATGTTAAAAGTAAAACCAAACAAAATGTTGAATGATGTTGGTCAAATCTGATGGCATTATCGAATGTTCTGATGACATTGAACATTAGTATGAAAATCTACCAGTGTGCAGGGCTATAGGGGAAAACTCAACAGGTGCATTGATGGTACAGAGTCATAATTAAAGACTAAATAGAAGAGATTCATAAAAACCAAACCGGACTTTAAAGGTAATTGAGACAATATCACATTTTTTTTTCTCTTAATAAAAACAAAACATCTTTTATATGTTGTCCAGTAAACAATGCTCAACCTCAACGTGTTTCACAGCTACTTTGAAATCTATTGCTTCTTCAGGAGGTTCTCAGGTATGTAGCATTACAGGTAAACTGCAATTTAGTAATAATACAGTGCCAAAATATTGGAACAAATGGATATGTAAGCACATAGATCTGAGTAAGCATATTGAGAGCATATCCACACTCTATAATATTATTATATGTACCTTTTAAAAACATAAATTGCCGAGTATCTCTCCACTGGACCCCAGGTGGCAGCAGGGACCTTCAGCCCTGGTGGACAGGGAAAAATCAAGGAAGTATGGTCTAAAAGAGAAGAGGGATCCACCATATTTAACCCCTTCATGACAGAGGCCCTTTTTTCATTTTTTGCACCCATGTTATATTCCACATTTTAGGCCTGAAATACCAGGACAAACTGCATGACTGTACATCCAAGACTCTTCGAAGTGAACACACTGCATCTAATCATTATTTAGCTAAATACCTTGCCCATCCAGATGTGGTGAATGTTTTAATAAAGATGTGTTGTTTCAAAGAAATTTGCTATCGTCTCAAGTACCTTCAAAGTCCGTTTTGGATCTTCTGAATGTTTTTTTTCGGATGTGGAATGAGCACCTAAATTTACTAAAATTATAATTTACAGACTAAGCCGTATTTTGTTGGCTGTAGATTGGAAGAAAGGGTCGCTGTGTGATTGTTGTATCATGTCTGTGCTCACTGCTGGCAGTACCTGTCTAATTTTGGGAGAACAAAGAATGTGCAAGAAAATTGAGACTTCCCAATCAACTCTCCAGAGCCCAGAGATTTCCTTACTAACCAAGCTGAGCCAAAGCCTCTGGAGAGTGAACTATACCATCCACGTACAGCCCATCAATGCTTGTTATGCACATGTCTCTGTACATAGGGAAGGGTTGCTAAGCAAGTTGTCAGCGTTAGGAAGGGCCGTTCTTTTACTGCTGTCACTAGGTGCTTATGACGTTTTTTCAGTCTTCATGATCTGTGAATATTTGTAGGAAACAAACTGCACTGGTTAAGTAATGTTTTTTCACTTTCAGATTCATTTAAGAGCCTAGCAGATGTGATATGCGAGTACCCCAATATTCACAAAAGGTAAATCTTTTACTTTTTTTTTTTCTTCACTCTGTCGGGGATATTGGGGAACAAGGAATGAACTTTGAACCTTATTATCCTACTAGAACAATTAAAGGACACAAAAGTTTACTGTGGGCAAACAACATGAGACTGTATGATGTATTTGCTATTAGAGCTGCACATGAGGGGCAATTATTCTTTAATCATTTTGTGATGTTTGATCTTCAACAGTAGCCGATTTGTGTTTGTACCCGGTCCTGAGGACCCCGGCCCTAGTTTCATTTTACCAAGGTACAGTTCTTTCTCTTTGACGTGTGTGTGTGTTTGTTTTTTTTTAAAAATATTCTGTTGTCCTCGGAAAATATATCTGTTGTTTCATGTAGAAATTGTATACATCTTACTGTCGGTTCATATTGCCTACAGAAGAGGCCAGCGTGCATCAAAAGCTTCCACTGCAGTCTATTTATTTTGCCAATAACTGGTATCGCCCTAAATCCAAACTTCCACTTTTGTCGATGGCTACCATGGTGCAACACTCTGCTGTTACCTTGGAAATTATGTAATTTTAAACCTATGCTTAAATGTTAACCTAAAGCTTTGTTGGCACTCCAACTGTTGTGGAACTACAAGTGCCATGAAGCATTGTAAGATTCTGACAGCCACAGGCATGATTCCCAGGGGTGCAGCATGATGCAATTTGTACTTTGACCACAGCTGGAGTGCCCATGTTGCCTGGCCCTGGCTAAGAGTGTTGGTGGGATCCTAGAGAAAAAGATTGCCTGCAATACAAACCTTTTGTTCAGCGAAGATGCTGGTCACATGACCAAAAGCCTAAGCATTTTATCATATGATCTCTGTTAAAGGAAATATAAACTGGTCTTACCTTTTGAATCTTCACTTTGGCAGAGAGCAAATTCCTAGGCTACAGCCAGCGTTAGAGAACCCAAAGTAGCATTTTCTCAAGGAAAGAGGCATTTCAAATTGTCTGGTAATATTTATCCATTTCAGATACATATTAGCATGGCCTTGTATATTATAATGTAAGTAAATATTTCTTCCAAGTTTCAGCAACTTAATCTTCTTCCTGGATGGTTTTAGCTGAAAAGCCAGACATCAGTTAAGTCCTATAGACTGAAGGCGTTCTTTTTTGTAGCTGTCCTATAGTCTATCCTAGAAATATCTTTAAGGCCACAGAAAAGGGCTCCCCATTAATTACTTTATGTACATTTGAAATGTGAATAGAATTGTATATAAAGAATGGTGTATGGCCAGCATGTTTTATCACCTGACTTCAAAGTGGCACTAAACTCCGGAATTAAATCTTAAAAATACATTCAAGTACCTTAACTATTAATAGAAATGTATCTTATTTGTGTATCACTCGGCTGTAGATCCCCCAAATCATCTCTGAATTGGTGCTGACACTGTCCTTCCTTCTGGAGGGGGGCTACTTTTGTTCCCCGTAGTCACCGCTCCAAGCTCACTACAATCTCATATTTAATTAGCTAATTTATATAGAAGTTAGTGTGTCACAGGAGTGAGCTTGGAGCGGTGACTACTTTACAACACGGACCATGGGGAACGAAAGTAGCCCCCCATCCAGAAGGAAGGACAGTGTCAGCACCAATTCAGAGATGATTTGGGGATCTACAGCCCGAGTGATACACAAATAAGATACATTTCTATTAATAGTTAAGGTATTTGAATGTATTTTAAAGATTTAACTCCTGAGTTTAGTGTCCTTTAAAGTTGAGTAGAGAATCTCAAGGTGTTTGTTTGAGTGAATGTTTTATTAGAAAATACTGTAAATGTTTCTGGATAAGTTATGGGTATGAGGCTGGCCTTGGCTAACAAATGTATTTCTTACAGACCACCCATAGCAGAGCACATCACAGAGGAATTTAGACAACGAATACCATTCTCCATTTTTACTACAAATCCGTGCAGGTGAGTTGTATGGTGTGATATTCTGGACCTACCAAAACGCCTTGTTTATCATGGTCCTAAAAATGTTGTCCGTGATGTTAAAATGGCAGCGTTTTTAAAAGCCATCTATAATGGACACCTCACCGTCAAACCAATGTGATCTTTTCGCACAATTCCAGAACCATGGTTATTAGTATGAAGTTTTCTCCCTCCCCAAAAGATTGGTGAAGTGTGTTAGTAATTTTTTGATTTGTTTAGTTTAGAAACTTTGCCATACTAGAACTGCAAACAAAAAGAAGTAATATGGGTCATCGCCTCTAAGGATAGCACAATGTTTTCTCTTAAACACCTGGAGAGGTACATTGTTTAGAACAATAGCAAGGTGCGTTCACCTTCTTTCACTTGTAACTTCGGTCATATTCCATTTGAAGTAATTGATGAGATCTTCAGAAGATATTTTTTTTCCTGCTGTGCCTGTTGGGTAAAGCCAACCATAGACAGCAGAAGGCTGGCCAAAAGTGATGACATGATCTAGTCACCCTTAGGCATCCCACCTGGTCAGCACCTCCCTTACCATGAGGTGCCACATTTACGAATGGTTCATGTTTAAAGTGTATGTAAACCCTAACAACTTCTTATATGCCTTCTTTTGATCTGTTAAATATAACATTGAAAAAACTCTTGATGATATGGAGATGAGGAGAGTGGGAGTTATTCAGTAGTCCTAACACAGGTCCTATCCTAGGGTGACAATTAGATCAAGGATTTCAAGTACTGAAGCCACAGAGAGCCATTCAATTAGCATTTTCAGGTCAGCAGTGGCAGCCCTCATTTCTTTCTGACAGTTTTCCTTTCAACTTATAAGTGCCATGTTATGCCATTGCTGGTACTCTAGCTCGTGGTGGTACATGATGGGCAAACAGCCAGATAGACATTGCTGCCCTAAACGCACACCCTGATTGTTCCTTGGCAGAAACCCGATTTCTGACATCCACTTAGAGTAATATGCTTGGTGCATTGGTATACTTATAAAATATGACACGCAGGGTATAGCAATCCTTTTAGTGTGCCATTAAACATTTGACAGAGGATGCAGGTAAGCTGTCCACACTGTTTCTTTCATGTCTGTTGCAGGATTCAATACTGTACACAGGAAATGATTGTATTACGAGAGGATCTGGTGAACAAAATGTGCAGAAACTGTGTTCGCTTTCCCAGCAACAGTTTGGACATTCCAAACCATGTAAGTAATAGACAACAATAATGTTTCCTTGACTGACATCGGCTTTCTGTAGGTTTTGACATTCCTTTTTTTTTTTATTTTTCTAACCACTTGCCGTCCATGGGCGTTCCTGAACGGCCGGCAAGGAGCCTCATTGGAGCGGGAGAGCGTCTTAAGACGTCCTGCCCCGCTCGTGTGCGGCGCTCAGATTGCACATGAGTGGGGAAATTGTTAGAAATGTAAACAGCCATCGCTGGCTGTTTACATTCAAGCGATCAGGCGTCTCTAGAGAGGGGCTGTTCGGCCGCCTCAATGCTGATTGGGGCGAAAAGCCGGCTTCCCAGCCAATCGACGGCCAATTTCGGCCAATCAGGAAGCCGGGAGGCAGGTCATTACTACCTGCCCAGCTTCCTGATTGCCGGGGAAGCTGGCTCCATGTTCCCCCTACGGCAGTGCCGTTCAGAGGAAATCTTCCCCTGACCGGAAGTTCCAGTATTGCAGTATTGGAGCATTTGGGCGAGTACGAGCACTTGACCAAATATTCGGTATCGGCACTGAGACTAGTAACTGCATCGGTGCATCCCTAGTTACAAGCATGGAAAAGATGCATTTAATACTTGCCTGTCCCTCCTCCTGTGCTGCTGTTCTCCACTGTATTTGAAAGAAACCACTGCCTGAAAAACCTTCTGCGTTCAACACGTCTGGGTTGTCAGATGCCTTGTCGCCCCCCCCCCCTTTGGTTCCTTCCGCTGGACCCTACATCACTACTGTGTCCTGTAATTTTGTATTTGGTCAGCAGGTTGAACCACAGAGTGCAAAGAGACCAGGGTGTGGCTGAAGAAGTTTCATCCGGCAGTGCTTTTTCTGATGGGTAATAGGTTCTCTTCAAACTGCAGCAATTTAATGAGCATCTGAGCTGGTTATTTTCACATCTTAGAAAATCTATTGCTGGTTGTCTGGAGTTTTCAGATAGAAAATGAAAGAGGCCTTTTACTACACAGGGGCCACATCTCCATCTCATACCCACTGACACCATCCACAATTTGAGCAAAAATGAACAAATCTCAGGAGCCCTTTAGAGCGGGTAGAATTCCAATATTGTCAGGGCCACCATATCCAGCAGGGTTCATTTAGGCACTTGTGTTGCTTGCACAGCTGCCATGCAAGTTTTCCCTGGTTGGCTGGGCAGTTGCTTGTGCAGCTGTCATACGAGAGTTCATGTTTGGGCTGTTCAGTTCTCAGTTGATATAGCTGTGACTGACTTGCTTAGCATGCATCAGCTGATACAGTTGATAGCATGATGTATGTTTCCTGCTTATGTTTTTAAAGCTCATGAATTTAGATTTTTAGGATTTTTACACAGCACAGGGGA